TACATACATACATACATACACACATACATATACATGAGTGCAGCATCACGCAGCGACCTGCTCATCAATGCCAGGTCACGTTATCTTGCCCCGAAAGACACCGACACAAACTGAACTCAGCAGCCCGAGCCTGGCCTAGGTAGACTCCTACAATGGCCCGCAATCTGATGTTCATGTATGAGAGGGTGGGCCGGTGTGTCCAACACCTCTTGTCTTCTTCGTCTTGTGGCGCTAGGAGCTCAGGGGACAGCCGCCCACTGTCAAATCCAAAGCCTGCTCTTCCCTCCTAGCGGGCGTAGATGTCTCCAAACCGCCCTCCCTCCTTGTACGTCTTGCAGGCCCTAACCTAGACCAGACGTGACGTCTGCTGATCTGCCCTGCCTCCCGCCGTTCGCACCCCACCATATCCAAGATGCTGGGTGTCTGCTCCCAAGGGGTGGGCTTAATACACTTCAATAAGCCCCAAGACTGGGTCGTCAGACAATCAAGTCCTCGGCGTCTCGCTGTGATCCCCTACCTGTCCATCGCCAGGCCACTCTTGCCACGACAGCAGCCGCCCCTGAGAGCCACTGGGGGCGGATGGTGTGCTTTCTCCTGAGACTGGGCGACACGCCTGGCCATCATTGGGGGGCTATGCTTGGTCCTTGACCCCCGGGGCCGTGGCCAGATGAGTACACACATGAGCAGTCATTGGCCTGGCATTGTGAATACCGTTGCTCTTACTACTCTCTTAGAACTGGTCATTGGTCCAACCTGATCTAGGGGTGTGTTTCCATCGTGATTCTGCATGCCATGGCAAGTGTTCGCAGACAAAAGTATAAGAACTCGTATGAGTGCTCTGAAAAGACTGACTCAACGCTGTCTTTGTTCACGTAGATGTTTCTTTTTGGGTTTTAATCTATCTATGCTGTCTCATCTAGAACTATCCTTTTGTCGTCGACACATTCAACACCTATCAAGACTTTCTAGCTCCATATGTCTGTACATAACTCTCTTCAATTCGGTGTTGAGGTCGAATTGCTCCTGGGAAGTCGCAAAAAAGCGCATTCATCATGGAAAGGAATGGCCAAGGACCTCAGCAAGAGGCTTGCCATGGCGGGCATCAGTAATCATGTCAATGAGGGAAACGACAAGTCTCAAGAACATTACAGCCAGTGGTCCATTGTTCAGGAGGTTACTATCCCCAGTCAGCCAGGCAAGGGTCTATGTGAGTAGATGATCGGTCGACATGGCGTGGTTACGGATCAGGGTTCTTCGGCTAACTTGTGACTCTAAGGGGGCATTGAGCTAGTTTCCCCAATCTACATGGCGTCCTGGTACTGGGCTACAGATCTTGAAACAATCTTCAGCGTCCTCCGTGGATCGTTTGTCTTAGCCCCGAGCTTGCATTGTAGCACACATGTACACGTTTCTGGTAACCCTGTGTCCCTGAACTCGTTCGAGCTTGCAACGCTTGCCAAAGCGGCTTTGTACTTCGAACCGGCTCTCGATGCTCTCGTGCCACCCAATCGCCGCTCTTCCGCGGCGTATTGGTGCCAAAGCAACCGTGCTAATCCAACGCTGAGCCAAATTTCTTCCGTTCAGGATTGTTTTGCCATCATCGACCATGCCGTCTCTACTTCCCCGTCTCTATCTGACAGCCCGGTGGATGGGCCAGAACGGGAAAGTACCCGTGCTGTTATCGAGGCTATGAACCTGTTTCCCGCTAACTCGGCATACGGTAAAGCTCATGGCAAGAAGAAAGACTTTATCCGCGGCAAGATATACAAGTAAGTGACTCGTTGCACGTGGGAGATCCTTGAGAATGCTCTTTGTCGCAATGAGATATCTTTTGTGTCCCACTGCAAGAACTGCTTGCTGACACTGGATGACCGCGTAGGTGGGATTTCACAGGAATGCTACCTCGCGGTAAAGGGGAAAGCACACCGGCACGAGGAACCGTTGAGTACCGGCAGGCGCCAGGTAGCATGTCTGCTGAGGAGGCAAAGGGATGGATCACACTTGCACTGTGTTTCGTGGCAGGCGTGACCGTCTCTGGATTCACTGCTCTCGATGGCATGGAGGGGGCGTGTATCAACGAATTATGGGACTTACTCAAGAGTGGCGCTGACGTCTTGGGATGGAATGGACTAGGGGCTGTAGAGGGTATCTTCGCGATGCGACTCAACTAGCGAAAAAGGACTTAAAGATATCTAGCAGGAGTGTGTTCGAGCTAAGTGAAGTCGTTCTTGATGTTATTCGACCTGACCATCTCGCCGTATGCTTTGATGAACTGTGAGACAGCATGTCTCTATCCTATAATCCAAAAACCAACATGAGCTGGACAAGCCCCATCATTGCTTGTCCAGCAAAACCGATAAACCCACTGAATTGGGCTGATAAAAACCCATAACTCAAAATGCTTCCACAGGTGCAAAGGAAGGTTAGGAAGGCAATGATCCATACTAGAGTCTTTGTTTCACTGTCAAGTCTGGCGTGAAATATTCGAGGGAGTAATAGAGGACCCAATATTTGCGTAGAAAGCCCTAGTAACTGCAGGATAGAGCCTGCAAGAAGAGCCGAAAACCCGGCATCGGTCCAGGAACCTGGCCCACTCGGCGTGTCTTTCCAAGCTATCCATGCAGGATACCCCGCGAAGAATGAAAAGAAGAAAGCAAGGAACGCAAGCGTAGCTGGGTTTGTTTTTGCTCTTGCAGCAATCACGGGGGCTTGTCTGGGTAGACTTGGATAGAGTTATGTTAGCGGATGAGCTGTGTTCGGCGATATATCTCTCAGACTTACAACCATTCATCACTCGCCTGATCTAGGAGTTTTTCATTTTGTTTCTGATCCAGTAGTTTCCAAGCCTCGTCATAATGCTCCTGCAAGGCTCCAACTCTCTGTCTTAGGCTGTGCAGTAAGGTCTCGTTGAGAGCCTGATGCTGATACGCTTCGGTGATTTGATCTCGGAGCAATCTCGCATCATTCAAAATACGTGACAGCCTGACTTTTGACATTAGGCTCTTTTGAGTCAGGCGCGTCAAATAATCAGCCTCGTTCGTCGGCCGCTCTCCAATGAGCAAACCCAAATTAATCTCAAAAGAGCCTCGCAGATCTCGCTCTGCTAAGCCTTTGATGGTTTTTTGCTCTTGGAACTTCC